TTTACAAGTTTCGAGAGGGGGGGGGGACAAAGCAAACCTTGAATATGTGTCAAGATCCTAGTGCCCAGAGTAGGTAGGCAGTCCCCATCTCTACCTCAGTCCCTTACAGAACAGTCTTAGTGGATTTCCTTGTGCTGCATGTATTGTACATGGTAAAGTAGAAAGTATCTCAAGAAAACAAGGAAAATGGAAAGCATTAACTTGAAGCTGGCCATGGTGGTGCATGCCTGTAATCTCAACATTCAGGAAACTGAGGCAGGAGGACTGATAGTTTCAGGTTATCTGAGGCTACATAGTAAGACCCCTATACTGTGTACTCTTTCCCACCAGCTGCCTGGGTCCCACTGCTGCCTCTGCCCCCAAATAGCACCCAAGACACTATATTAATTATGAAGCTGTTGGCCATTTTCTATGGTTTCTTAATGGCTAGCTCTGACTTAATTATTAACCCATAATTACTAATATATATTTTTATAAGGTCTTATCTTACCAAGAATGCCAGACTTCCGCCCTCTCCTCCCAGGACCACATGGTGACTCCCCATTCTTGACTCCATTTCCCAGAATCCTCCTCGATTCCTAGTCCCGCCTATCTTGCTTCCCTATTGGCCAACAGTGCTTTATTATTAACCAATCAGACAAACATATATACAGACTTCCCCCATCAGACCCCCTCTTTTTTAAAAATTTATTTATTCTTCTTTCATACAATACATCCTGATGACAGTTTCCCCTCCCACCTCTCCTCCCAATCCTCCCCAACCTTCCCTCTCTCCCAGATCCACTCTTTCTCAGTTTCCCTTCAGAAAAGAGCAGGCCTCCCTGGGATTTCAACTGAACACAGCATGATAAGACATAGTAAGACTAGGCACAGACCCTCATGTTGGGTCTGGGAAAGGCAATCCAGTAGGAGGAAAGGGGTCCTAAGAGCAGGCAAGAGCCTAAGACAACCGCACTCCCACTGTTGGGAATCCCACAAAAACCCCTAACAATCATGACACATGTGATGTGCAGTGGACCTGGTGCAGACCTTGACTGTTGCTTCCATCTTGTGAACCCCTATGAGTCCTGCCTGGTTGATTCTGTGGACTGTGTTCTCCTGTTGTCCTTGACCCCTCTGGCTCCTATAATTCTTCCTCCCCCTCTTCATGGGGGTACCCCAAGCTCCAAGTGGAAGGACCCAATGGAGAGCTCCAGTTTGGGCTATCTGTCTGCCTAACGTTTGGCTGCGAGTCTGCATCTGCTCCCATCAGCTGCCGGAGGAAGCGTCTCTGATGACTGGGTTGGGCACCCATCATGTTTTTCTTCCTGGGTTACCTCATCCAGGCTGTTCTTCTCTAGTTCCATCCATTTGCCTGCAAATTCCATGATGTCATTTTTTTTTCCAAGAGAGGGTTTCTCTGTATTGTTTTGGAGGCTGTCCTGGAACTCACTCTGCAGACCAGCCTGGCCTCGAACTCACAGAGATCTGCCTGCCTCTGCCTCCCGAGTGCTGGGATTAAAGGCATGTGCCACCAATGCCCAGCGATGTCATTTTTTTAATAGCTGAGTAATACTCCATTGAGTAAATGTACCACATCTTTCACACACACACACATTTATTTATTTTTATGTGTATGGATGTTTTGATTGTGCACCATGTATGTGCATTGCCCACAGAGAGAATGTTGGATTCTCTAGGACTAGAGTTACAGGTAGTTGTGAGCTACCATGTGGGTGCTGGGAATTAAGCTCAGGTCCTTTGGAAGAGCAGCCAGTGCTCTTAAGCCCTGAGCCATCTCTCCAGTTCTTCGGTCTAGGGATATGTAGGTTGTTTCCATTTCTGGCTATTATGAATAAAGCTGCTCTGAACATAGTTGTGCAAGTGTCTCTGTGGTCGGGTGTATGCCCATGAGTGCTATAGCTGGGGCAAGACTCCCTGAAACAAAACAACACATGCACATGCACAAGTTCTCTGAGTGCATGCCTGCGCACACACAGACACACACACACGCACGCACGCACGCACGCACGTGCATTGATTTATATAAGAGAGGATGAAGCCAATGCTGTAAGAACTCAAAGAAGGGCGGAGGGACGGGTGCCCCTCACTGGATGTTGAAGAAACAGGTTCGAAGTGGGACAAGTAAGAAGAAAACACACTTGGGGGTGGCCATGTAAGAGCACCTCTCCATGTCACCAGCTCCAAGAGGAGAAACAGCAGGACCCTCATTGCTGCACTCTGACTATATCACATTTGTGCCAGTTAGCCTTCTACAGGCTGCTTCTAACCCAGGTCTGAGTTATACCATGGCAGGCAGGCTAAGGCCTGTAACACTGCAGACAAGGTGCGCCTCTGATGGGTAACTGGTTTAGGGATTCCGGTTGACTTTGCAAAACTTTCTCACAATGGCGCAGCAGTCTAAGACACCTCTGCCCAGCCTGCCTTTCTTCCCATTCTCCTTCATATGGTGGATCTGTGCCCTGTCTGTTGCTTCTCCTGGCTCCAGCCCCATTTTCCCTCACAGGTGTTTTCCCTAATAAATCTCAGACACATCTAATCTTGTCTTGGTATCTGTTTCTTGGAGGACCCAGATGGACATACAACTCTTGTGACGATGCCAAGTCGGCGTCCCCACTGCATTCCAAAGCTCCTGTTTCATTTGCTTGATTATTCCTTCCCAATTATCTTCCTAATTACCACCGTCTTTTAGAAGTTGGTGCTGCTGGATATTCTCTAGGGAAAAGACATTGTAACTAGGAGGAAGTGTCCATGGGAAATTCCCACCACGGAAAAAAAGCAGGCCTAGAGAATAATTAGAGAAACACCCTAATTTTTCCTTATTTTAATTACTTTTAATAAGCTTTCGAAGGGGGGAGGGCAGAGAGATGGCTCAGCAGTTAAGAGCACTTGTTCTTCAGAGGAGTTGAGTTTCATTCCCAGCACCCACACGGTGGCTCACAACCATGCATACTTCTCGTCCCAGGGGCTTCAATGCCTTCTTCTGACTTCAAGGGCACCAGACAAGTGCCTGGTACAGATACACACATGCAGGCAATATACGCATACTCATTAAATAAAATACGTCTTTAGAAATGTAAGACGTATCTTTAACTTTTAAGTTTTAGTTTTGGTTTAATGAGACAAGGTTTTATTTTATAGCCCAGGCTGGCTTGAAACTTGCCATGCAGCGCAGAATGACCTTAAACATGCAATGGTTTTCCTGCTTCTGCCTCTTGAGTGCTGGGATGACAAGTGTGTGCTACTACATCAGGTTTGTGTGGTTCTGGGGGTTGAATTCAAGGCTTTGTGGATGCTAGGCAGATGCTCTACCATCTGGTTTACATCCCCAGCCAAGTTTATGGCCCATTAGCCAAGCATGCACCACCTAGTTTCTCTGCACTGAGATGTCTTCAGGTTTTCAACTGGGGAATTAGACAAGCAATAGTCACTCAAAAATCCATGATTTAATACACTCTCTTGAGATGAACTTACTTTTCTTTCTTCCTTCCTTCCTTCCTTCCCCACTTCCTCCCACATACATGTATTGAACAACTGTGCTATGACCTGTATATAAGACTTGAGGAGCAGCCCCATCTTTTAGAGAGCTTGGAGACTGGGGGGTGGGAGGGGGTGTTTGGGTAGAGTGGGGGGTTGGAGGTGGGGGTGGGGGGTTGTAAACATATCAGCAAATGATTAAAATGTTCATATGAGTAAATCGTTCTTTCTTAGGGCAGTCATGAGATGGGTGGGGAGGGAGATGGGTGCTTGCTGTAGTCACATTAGCATTTCTGCAGGAAGTAGCAACCCCCATTCTTCAGAAAAGAACACATTGGATGAATTAGTTTTGGTTGCTAAAGCCATTTTGTCAGGAAAAATTAAATGGTTAAGGCTGGAGAGAAGGCTTAGTGGTTTGGAGACTTTCCAACTCTTGCAGAGGACCCAGCATTGGCTCCCAGCATCCAATATGACAGCTCACAGTTGTGTATAACTCCACTTCCAGGAAATTCAATGCTTCTTCTGACCTCCAAGGCCTTCGGCATGCAAACAGTGCGTATTATAATTAAGAAAAGTGGCACAAGAGAGAAAAACACCACACAACAGGGTTCAAGCAGAGGAGTTTTTTTAATTAGGGAAAGGTATCATAAAAAGGGGGAAGGGGAGGGGGGAGACCAGCCTCTGGAGACAGAAGCAGCAGGAGAGAGGAAAGAAGGACAGAGAGAGAGAGAGAGACAGAGACAGAGACAGAGACAGAGACAGAGACAGAGACAGAGACAGAGACAGATTGAGGAACAGACAGGGAGCAGGAGAGGAAAAAAGAGAGGGGTGGGCAGAGCCCTATTAAAGGGGAACATAGTGAATATGCACAGGCAGTGCTCTTAGCGACTGCAGCTGAGGGTGTATCCTGCCAGAACCCCAAGGGCAGGCCAGTACAGATGCCTGAATACTAACAGTGCACATACACACACTCAGGCACACATACATACACATAAAATATTTTTTAAAGAAAAAGAAAGTGGCTTTTGGAGCCAATGCATTTATAGATCATTTTGAACTTGTCAGTCTGTACCAGGCTTTGTGCTGGGAGCCCCTGCCTCAGTATCCCCAGTTCTGAGATTAAAAGTCGTGGCCACTATGCCCAGCTTTTACAAACATGCTCTGGGGCTCAAAGCCAGGTCCTTGTGCTTGTGTGGAAGCTTTTTACTGTCCCGACTGAGCCATTTCTCCAGGACTTAATCTTGCAATTTTAAAGGTGCACAGTCTAAACTGCCTGGGTTGGGGCTGGCAAGGTCCTATGGCAGGAGGCAATCTAATGATGGGAACTTATGTAAGGACAGATCACATGACAAGACAGGAAACCAGACAGCCACCGAGGAGGGGTCAGGCCTAGCTTTTTATATTGAAAATCTCTTAGGAACTTAGTCCCATCCGAGGGCAGGACTGTGAGGGCTCAATGACCTTCCTTCAGCAAATCCTACCACCACTTCCGGGCCAATGACCTCCCATTAGGCTGTACTTACCTAAGGTCTAGTACTTCTTAATATTGTTACACTAGGGCTCGCGTTTCTAACATGAGCCTTTGTGGGGTGAGGCAGGGAACAAGCCACATCCAAGTCACAGTAGGGTAAACAGAGGCCAGACAGCGAGGTCTTCTGTAAGTCACTGTAAGGGGATGAAGAGACTATATTGAAGGTTTTGATGATCACAAGGTCTTGATGGGATTTGTATTTTTTTTTAAAGGTGTCCCAGCAGGTTGTGGTGTCACAGATCTGTAATACCAGTATTCAGTAAGCTGAGACAAGAGGATTCTGGGTTCAAGGCCAACCTGGGCTACATAGCAAATTCAAGATTAGTTTGAGCTATAGAGTATGTTTGTATGTAAACCCAAACAAGGGTTGGGCAGTTCAATTGGTGGAGTTCTTACCTAGAATACAAAAGGCCTTGGAGTAGACATACACACAGACACATAGGCACACACATACACACACAGACACAGACATACAGACATATAGACACACACATACACATACAGACACAGATATACACATATACACAGACACATACACACACACACACACACACACACACACACTTACAGTGGATCTGACCACATGACATATCCCATCTTCTTCTCATGGAAGTAGGGTCTTCCCACAAACTCACCAAGGGGTACATTTTTGAAGGGTATTTGTCAGGAGCTAGGACAGTAAGAGTGGGGGAAAGGACGTTCCTTAGCTGCTCTGGCCCAGGAGGTCCCTTGCCTCCAGGAACCACATGGGTCAGATGGTGAAGGGAAAGGGCTTTGTTTCTGGCTCTGGCTGGTAGCTTTTCATTTTCTTGAAAGGTAAGAGCAAAATGGAGGGAGGGGGAATAAAGGTCTGTTCTCTTTTAAAGAGAGCTAGGGGAAATTGAGAAGAATTCAGAGAGCAAAGCATCACGTGACCTTACATCTGGAACAGCTGGATGCCACTGCAGTCCCCACCTGCCAATCCATGGGGACGCTGACCATGTACTGACAGGTCAGAATACTCAGGGGTAGCAAAGGACAGATTATAGATATAGGGGTCCCAAGGAGTTAGGCTCAAACATTGGCTAAACTGGCCAGTTCCTTAAACGTCCCTGAACCTCATCTTCTATCTGTAAGACCAGGTGACACCATGACTGTGAGGCTTAGACCAGCTAATGCATCACAGGTAGGGGAAACAAATGGCAGCTCTTACAGTTAGAGAGCATGTTGATTATGTTAGCTTTTCAGGGGCCAACCTGGGCTTTTTTCTTTCTCCTTTTTAGAGATAGGCCCTCACATAGCCCAGGCTGGCTTCAAACATACCATGTAGCCAAAAAAGTCCTCCTGTCTCAGCCTCCAGAGTACTGGGATTATGGGTGAGCACAAACATGCCCAGCACAGGCATGAGGCTGAGGCCACATAGGGCTAGCACAATGGAGCTGCATCCCCAGACCCAGGAAGCAGTCTTTGAAATTCCCATTTCCTCTTTCAAGATTTCCCAGCCAGTCTCTAACTTTTCTTTTCACCCACACTTCCTAGAAAAGCTATGCCAAGCTCTGGGAGGAGTTTTGAAACATACCTCTGCTTTTAAGTGAGTTCGGATTGCTTTTATTATGTGCCTTATTAAATTCCCATGGAAGGTTCTCATTTTCATCAGGCTACTGGCAGTTATGCTTTTTGGGGAATCTGGAAGCATTGGGAAGAGGATATCAACGTTCCCCTCTCCTTCCCTCTCCTCCCCATGGCTCTGCTCTATAGACCCGGACCTGGGATGAGAATGTTAATTTGTTTTCCCAGTTGGCGTCACCAGGTTCCAGGAACCACAGCCTCTGGTACCCTTAGCGCTTTACACATGGGGAAGGTAAGACAGGGGGAATGCCTTCCAGCATCTTGACTGCTCTGTGCCATGCTCCCTACCCAGTCCCTAGTGCAGTTGCAGGTCACTGCAGCCTCAGGAGCTTGCCTTTGAGAGCTGGTATTTTGTTGGTACAAAGTCAAGTCCCAACGGCAGGCTGACTTGGGTTGCAATGGAAAGTAGATTCCAAAGCTGCCCCTGGAATGTGAACTTTTCCTGGAAACTTTCCACGTAGCCTCTTAGAGAACAGCAGGCATCAACGTCTTCACACCAGGAGTCAATTAAAGAAACCCAAATTATTGCCATTCCAATAAACAGGGATCTCTGTTCCTCTCCAAATAAACTTGTTGGGATGGCCTCAGTGCCAGGTCTAATTACACAGTCAAATAGCATAAATCTGGTTAGAAGCCTTTTGTCTGCTTTAATTAATTTTCTCCTACAATCAAAGCTATTTTCAATAAATGTTAAATATGTATTTAAACAACTCCGGGGCTTCACATGGCTCCTCAAACCTGCTGGGGCTCTCTTTCATCTGTCCTTACTCCCTTCTGGTGAAGCATGCTCCTAGAACACTCTATTCTCAGGTAAAGACAAGAACAGCACATCTCTGAAATGCAGCCTGAGATATAAATACTTATATCCTGGGGACATGGCTCAGGTTAGAGTGGGGGTCATTTAAGGTGGTTCCGAATACTGTTACACATTGGAGTCACTGGATGGAAAAGGAGGTGAAGTAAATAGTAAGAAATTTAGCAGTTGGAGTCGAACTATGCCTTTCCAAGCTGTCTGAGACAGGACTTCCCAAATATAATCATTCTCTTTGAATTATTATTATCAGACAATAAAGTGCTGTGTAGTTGGTTGTTTTATACTATTTACTCTTTGCTCTTTAGCTCTTTGGGGGCCCACCACCCAGCTTCAAAATGCTCCCAAAAAATCACATGGAGGCTTATTATTAGTTATGAAAGCCCAGCCTTAGATTGGCTTGTTTCTAACCAGCTTTTCTTAAGTAATTATGCCATCTACCTTTTGCCTCTGGGCTTTTATCTTTATCCCATATATCTTTCTTATATTTTGGTTGTGAGCCTAGCCTTTAACAGCTGAGCCATCTTTCCAGTCCCCCATATACCTTCCTTTATGTTCTACTCTATGGTTTGCTGAGTGGCTGGCACTCGAAGTCGTCCTCCTCTCCCTCCTGGAGCCTCTTGCTTCTTCATCCCTCTTTTTCTCCTTCTATTCACTCTCTTTGCCTGCCAGCCCCGCCCATCCTTTTTCCTGCCTTGCTATTGGTTATTCAACTCCTTATTAGATGAATCAGGTGTTTTAGGCAGGCACAGTAACACAGCTCCACAGAGTTAAACAAATGCAACGTAAGAGAATGCAACATATCTTTGCGGCATTAAACAAACGTTCCACAGCATAAACAAATGCAACACATCTTAAACTAATATTCCATAACAGTTCTGGGCTGGTGAGAAGGGTCAGTGGGTAAAGTGCTTGCCACACATCCCCAATGAGTTTGACACATGGGTCCCCCACAAATGTGGAAGGGGAGAAGCAGCTCCACTAAGTCTCCATGGCACGTGAGAGCCTCTCCCCATAATAAAAAAGAAAAGGAAGTGTTCATTAAGAAACACCAAGTGGGGCTGATTGAGAACAGCTCGACACGGATGAGGTGAGCTGTAAGAAGCTAGGTAACCACATACCTGGAAGCCCTGGAGGACTCTCTGAATCCCAGGTGACACTCCAGTGGCCACCCCAGGTTAAGGTAGAAGCTTGGAAGACTATGTTTGTAAACCCCATGGAGGCATCTTCAGTATCAGGGAACCTGACATGAAGAACCACTGTCCAAAACCCAGGTACAGAGGCTCATGTCTGTAATCCAGTGGTTTCAACCTTCCTAATGCTTTGACCCTTTAACAGTTCTGCATGCTGTGGTGACACCCCCCAGTCATAGAGTTATTTTCATTGTTACTTCATAACTGTACATTTGCTACTTTTATGAACTGTAATGCAAATATCTCATATTCAGGAAATCTGATATGTGACCCTGTGAAAGGGTTGTTCGACCCCCACAGGGGTTTTGACCCACAGGAAGAGAAACACTGCTTTAATCCCAGCACTTTGAAGATGGAGGCAGGAGGATCAGGACCTCAAGTCCATCTTTTGCTCATCAAAGGACTGTTCAAGCCATCTTCACAGGACAAGGACCCCATGGGTGTAGAGAGAGTCAACGTGTCAGCAAAACTTACAGAGCTTACCGGCCAGCAGAAGAGCCTATCCAATCATTCCAGAGACTGTTACTCACCTCCTGTCTCCTGTGGATCAGACTGGAAAGGGGAACAACCACCTCTGGGAGAGGGTGTCTACTGGAGAAAAGAACATCAAAGCAAGCAAAGCGAATACACAGACAGACCAGTGAACAGGAGGACACCTCCATGGGTACCCTGACAGGGGCTGGAGGATACCAGGTTTCACTTTGCTTCCCTTCTGTTCACCTTGACCTTGACATGGTGATTCCATTGGCTTCCAGAAACTCTGGATCAAGGGCAGATGGGAATGGGGAAGAAGGATGACCCTGACTCATGGGCTAGCAAGAAAGGCATTGTTCTCTTGTTTCTTTGGTCCCTTGTGATCTCGTGGTACTTCCTGCAGCCTGCTGGTTCGAACTGTGCCTTTAGGGTCCCAGAAAGAACCTGGAGAAAATTTCCTAGGAACTTTCTAGCATCATACTCAACTGTGAGTCACTCCAGAGAAGGAGAATGAAAGGGGAAGCTTGTGTTTTTAAAAAATGGTGTGGTTTTTATCTACCAATAAGAACACAAAATAAAGGCTCTGAGAGTCAAGCTGGTGTCAAAACTTGGACCTGGGAACTTCTCTTTTTGCTTTATTGTCTCTACCTCAGCTTCCGGCCTATATGTGAGTCTTCCCCCATTAAGGTCACTGAAAAGAGGACAACATGACAGTTCAGGGAAAACTAGGGATACTCCACGCTTCCAGGTGGGAAAGCGAGGCACGAACATTGGCTGAACTTGTGGTTGGCTTGTTCCTGCAAAGTACGAAACTGGTATTGTGTCTAAAAGACACACAGCTTTTAAATTCTCCTTACCAGCTTTCAAGACGGTGGCGAGAACTGCCTGGTAGGTTGTAAAAAAGGAATACAGGGATGAGTGGAGGAAAGCAGAACCCTGCCAGATGTCCTCAAAGAGCAGAGACAATGAAAGGAGCCATGGACGATATTTACATCAGTGCCAAATGGCCAGGGTGGTGCCAAACTGGCCTGGTCTGGTTCCATCCCCCTGCAAAGCAGAGCCCTCCTGGGCAACGCTTCCTTAATGCCGAAAAGGGATTCATCTCCTAGACCGGGGCCAGACATTGGGCATGAACAGCAATGATCGCAGATCTTATTCTTAACTCCCATGAGGACGGCAAAGGGCAATCATTTTTGTCACTTATTTCCCTCTTGCTCCTCATTGCTCCACTACCCACCAAAGCAATTTCTTCTTCCCAGAGGCATCTCTGCTAAAACAGAGCATGAGATCTGTAGTCACTAAGAGTTACAGTGGTGATCTGACACTAACCAAATACAAGTTACTCATCTTAGCACAGTCGTGGTCCACTATAGGTGATCAATGCATGTTATAGGGGAAGGAGGGAGGGAGGCAGAGAGGGAGGCAGGGAGGGAGGCAGGGAGGGAGGCAGGGAGGGAGGCAGGGAGGGAGGAGGCAGGGAGTGAGAAGAAGGAAAGCAAGGGGAGGGAGAACTCCATACCTTACATGTTAGGATTCAGCTATCTCTTTGAAAGTTCATTAAACTGGCTGGGAAGTATGATCAATTAAATTTGGTAAAACATAGCTTGACCAAATACAGAGAGTTGGCCGGGTGTTGGTGGCACAAGCCTTTAATCCCAGCACTTGGGAGGCAGAGGCAGGCGGATCTCTGTGAGTTCGATGCCGAGCTGGACCGATAGCCTCCAAAACAATAGAGAGAAACCCTGTCTCATAAAACCAAAAAAAAAAAAAAAGAAACTCAAAGACGGAGCTGAGGGTATTTCCCTATGCAGAAACAACAAATGATGACTTCTTTCATTTTGACACACACACACACACACACACACACACACACACACACACACACACACACACACGTTTTCTACTCCCCTCCCCAACCCAGTCAACTTCCTAATTCTTTAGAATTCTGTCATTGTTTCTCAACTTTCTCACCTTCAAGGGGGAGTCTGGAGCTTGAACAATGCACTAATGCTGCAGCCATCAGGACCTGAATGCTGCCCTTTTGGAACCCAGTGCCTAGCCCTCCACTTACTTAGTTTCCCTGTAACCCTTTTATGTCAGAACACAAGGAGAGATGAACTAAATGCAAAACTACTTCAGCTCACCAGCAGATTAGCCCCAACAGTGGCCATAATCCCCATGCGACACCCTGTCCCATGGGATAAGGTCTGCAGACACAGCTTATAGAACAGCGGGGGCTAACTCCCCCTAAGAAGTAACATGTGATTGGAAACAGCCGCCCTGGACCAAGGCTCCACCAATTGAGCTAACCACACGTCTAATGATACTTCAAAGAAACGAGCCATTCTTTAGAGACCAACAATTTGGTAGTCATGGCTAGATGAAGAAAAAAAAAAACCTATCATAAGCAGGGAGAGGGCTGGTACAGTGCAGGAATCAAGTTAACCTCTTGGTGTCCCAGCCTTTTCTCTTTACGGTGGGAACAAGCGTGTGTGTCTGAGAGGCTGAGAGGGGATAAGATGTGTAGTCATCACCTTCGGCGATGCTGTCATTTCCAGTAACTTTGAGGTACCGGGAATGACAGCGATGAGAAGTCAATTAATTGGCATTGGGTTTGTGTCACGGGTCAGGAAAGGTGCCTTCAGAGCGTTCTCAGTGTTCTGCTCTCTATCACGCTCCTTTGTGGACTTTCTCTTTTTCTTATCGATTTGTTCTTGTTTCTGAGGAACCTGAAGCTTCACTCACACTAGGCAAGTGCTCTACTCCTGAGCTCCATTTCTGCCGCTCTATTTAAATCCCTTTTGGAGACCAGGGGTTACCCCGAATGGCCCAAACTTGTTCTGTAGCCCAGGCTTGAAGTTGTGATCTGTCTCTTTAGCCTCCTGAGTAATTGGAATTACAGGCCTGTGCCACCAGGCCCAAGCTTTCTTCTTTGAACACCATCCTCTAATTTCTGCCTTTCCCCTTTTCACTCCCTCCTCTCCTTCAATATATTCCCTTCCTCACTCCCTTCCTTCCCTCTCTCCCTTCCCTCCTTCCCTCTCTCCCTTCCCTCCCTCCCTCCCTCCCTTCCTCCCTCCCTCCCTTCCTTCCTCCCTCCCTTCCTTCCTTCCTCCCACCTCCCTCCCTCCCTCCCTCCTTCCTTCCCCCCTCCTTCCTCCCCTCCCTCCCTCCTTCCTTCTTTCTTTTTCTGAAACGTGGCATCACTGTACACCTTAACTCACAGAGATCCACTTGCCTCTGCCTTCTAAGCGCTGCTGATATTAAAGGTGATTTCTTTCCCTTCATTCAGAAAATAAGTGAAACATATCTCTGAACCAAAGAAGGAAATGAGGAAAATAAGGAAGGCTCCATTCTGATTTCTTGGAAGCCTGAGCCTATGCATCTATATTTGGGTTGATTTTTTTTTCTGTTTTAAAAATCAAATAGCCAGATTTAAAAGACTCAATACTGCTTCTTTCTCCCTATGCAGTAACTGTCTAGAGGTAGAATTGCCCAAGTCTTCCTGTTATGAGTTATTTATTTATTCATCTATTTATTTATTTTTCTTTCTTTTAAGTGGAGCCACTGAAGAGATGGGTGTTGGAAACTGAACTTGGATCTTCTGCAAGGACAGCAGCGCTCTTAACCACTGAGCCATCTCTACAGCCCCCTATTGTGAGTTTTTAAACCTAATGTTCTGACTACCAGAAAGCATGCCTTTTAATTTAAAAATAATAAAAGGTCATCTAGGTGGTTCTGATTGGCTATCAGATACTGCATTTTGATTTCCCCCCACCAAGTGTCATTCCAGCTGCTTAGTCAGAATTCATTAACCCCGAGAGACAAGCAGAGAGTAATTTTAATGCCTAATAGGGTGGTTGCAGATGAAGGGATGTTATTATCTGGAGTACATATTTTTACAACTTGTAGACCAAAATTCACTTGGTGAATAGAGGAATTGTACCTTCCTCAGAGATGACAGAACTGAATCTAATTTTGTCACTGTTTTGGCTCTTCCAGCAAAATAGGTTCCCATTTCAACTGAAGCAGGAACCCGTTTCTGTTGAGGGGGCTTTCTTCAGGGGATCTGAAAGAACTGGAGGGTTCAGTTTTTAGCATTCTTTTTCTTTTTCTTGCCACTTGTATTGACAGGAAAATGAAACTTCCTCACGGGTTGAGAGGTGGGTTTGGTTTGAAATGTTGGTTCTCATTTTCTGGAGCTCTTAACTTTATCAAGCCATTTGGCATTTGGGGAGCGCTGCCAGAAGGGCTTGTAAATGCTGGCTACACTGGAAGCTGAGGCCCCTGGTAGCCAGCTAGTACAGTGCTCACCGACTTCCCCGGAAAGGACACCACTTACTGCCTTGCCTGTTTGGAAGTCTGATCTGCAAATAAGGATGAAAATGGCAACAAGCTATCCTTACAGGGAATTATTTCCCGCTTATAGTTAGTCTCGATTGCACACCACCAACAAAAACTTCTATTCTATCCAGTGAGAATCTATTACAGTGAGAATCTGGGCTTTCTAAGAAATCTAAGCAATCTAAGCTCACGTAGATACAAATGAACTAAAGGCTGGATGTGAAGGGTCAGAGAGATGGCCCAGTAGATCAAGGTACTTGTCACCAAGTTTGACTCCTAAGTTTGGTCCCCAAC